ATAAGACTTGATTTCAGGTAATGTAGATCTTCTGATTTTGTTCTTGTCCTTCGATGTTGTGTTGGCTATCCTGGATCTTTTGCCTCTTCATATAAATTTTAGAATCAGTTTGTCAATATTCACATAATAACTTGTTGAAATTTTAATTGGAGTTGCATTGAATATGTAGAGTTGGGAATGACTTAACATTTTGGCATTACTGAGTCTTCCTATCCATGGATTTGGAATATCTCTCCATTTAATTGTTCTTTGATTTCTTTCATCAGAATTTTATGGTTTTCCTTGTATAGATCTTACACATATTCTGTTAGATATATATCTAAGTGTTTCATTTTTGTAATGTAGATAATATGTTTTTGATTTAGTATAAAACAAAAACATAATATGTTTATGTTTTGATTAGCAACTTGTTCGTTGCTAGTATATAGGAAAGCAATTGACTTTGTTTTTTTTTGTTTTTTTTTTGTTTGTTTTTTTTTTGAGACGGAGCCTTGCCCTGTCTTTCAGGCAGGAGTGGTGCAGTGGCACGATCTCAGCTCACTGCAAGCTCCGCCTCCCGGGCTCATGCCATTCTCCTGCCTCAGCCTCCCGAGTAACTGGGACTACAGGCGCCCGCCACTGCGCCTGGCTAATTTTTTTGTATTTTTAGTAGAGACGGGGTTTCACCGTGTTAGCCAGGATGGTCTCGATCTCCTAACCTCATGATCCTCCCGTCTCGGTCTCCCAAAGTGTTGAGATTACAGGCGTGAGCCACCGCGCCCGACCAGCAATTGACTTTTGTATATTAACCTTATATCCTGCAAACTTGGTGTAATTGCTTGTTAGCTCCAGGTTTTTTTTTTTTTCCCTGTTCTTTCAGATTTTCTACATGTATGATCATGTCATCTCTGACAAAAAGACAATTTTATATCTTCCTTCCCAATCTTTATAATTTTTATTTCCTTTACTGCTTTAGCTAGGACTTTCAATAAAGTGTTAGAAAGCAGTGGTAAGAGAGGACATCTTTTTCTTTCCTTTTTTTTTTTTTGAGACGGAATCTCACTCTGTCACCCAGGCTAGAATGCGGTGGCGCAATCTCAGCTTGCTGCAACCTGGGCCTCCTAGATTCAAGGAATTCTCCTGCCTCAGCCTCCCAAGTAGCTGGGATTAAGGGATTTTGCCATGTTGGCCAGGCTGATCTTGAACTCCTTACCTCAAATGATCCGCCACCTAGGCCTCCCAAAGCGTTGGGATTACAGGCATGAGCCACTGAGCCCGGCCTTTTTTGTTTGTGATTATTTAAGGGGGAGTGCTCCTAGTTTCTGACCATTAAGATGTTGTAGCTTTTTTTGTAGATATTTCAATCAATTTGAAGAAGTTCTCTATTTCTAGTTTACTGAGATTGTTCGACTTTTTACTGTTGAATTTTGAGAGTTCTTTATGTATTTTAGATACTAGGTGTGGTTTGCAAATATTTTCTTCTAGTAAATTTTATTGTTCTACATTTAAGTGATCCATTTTGAGTTAATTTTTAATATAAGGTATGAGGCTTAGGTTGAAGTTGATCTTTTTTGCCTGTGCATGTCTGCTTTCTCTGGCACCATTTATTGATAAAGCTATCTTTCCTTGACTGAATTTTTTTTTTTTTTTTTAAATCAGTTGGGCATATTTGTATGGGTCTATTTCTGGGTTCTTTATTCTGCTCTATTGATATTTGTATATATATCAGTACTACTTGATGTCTGTAGCTATTTATATAATAAGTCTTAAAAGTGGGTAGGGTGATTCGATTCCTCCCTCCTTTTTTTTTTCCAAAACTGTTTCAGCCATTGTTGTTCTTTCTTACACCTTTCCATATACACTTTAGAATAATCTCAGCTTATTTAAAAAAAAAATCTTCCTGGGATCTGAATAGGAATTATATTAAACCTGTATAACAATTTTAGGAGATTTGACATCTTTACTAGAGTCTTAAATCTCTCCATGTATTTAGATCTCTGATTTTTTTGTTGTTGTTCTTTTCTTTGAGACGTCTCGCTCTGTCGCCCAGGCTGGAGTACAGTGGCGCCATCTTGGCTCACTGCAAGCTCCGTCTTCCGGGTTCACACCATTCTCCTGCCGCAGCCTCTGCAGTTGCTGGGACTACAGGCACCTGCCACCACGCCTGGCTAATTTTTTTTTTTTTTTTTTTTTTTTTGAGACAAAGTCTCACTCTTGTCCCCTGGGGCTGGAGTGCGATGGCCTCCGGGGTTCAACTGATTGTCCTGCCTCGGCCCCCTGAGTAGCTGGGATTACAGGTGCCTGCCACCATGCCCAGTTAATTTTTGTATTTTTAGTAGACGGGGTTTTAATATGTTTGCCAGGGTGGTCTAGAACTAGTGACCTCAGGTGATCCACCCGCCTTGGCCTCCCAAACTGCTGGGATTACAGGCGTGAGCCACCACGCCCGGCCTTAATTTTGTTTTTGTATTTTTAGTAGAGACGGGGTTTCACCCTGTTAGCCAGGATGGTCTCTATCTCCTGACCTCGTGATCCGCCCGCTTCAGCCTCCCAAAGTGTTGGGATTACAGGCATGAGCCACCGCGCCCAGCCTAGATCTTTGATTTTTTTAAATCAGTGTTCTATAGTTTTCAGCATATAAGTCTTGTACATATTCTGTAGATTTATGCAGAAATGCTTCATTGTTTTTTAGTGATTGTGAATGGTATTGCATTAACTTTGGAGTGTACATATCCATTGCTAGTATATAGAAACATGATTGGCTTTTTTAACATTTGTCTTGTATTCTATGACTGCTGAGATTGGTTATTAGCTCTGGGAGGTTGCCAGGCTGGAGTGCAACGGTGCAATCTCGTCTCACTGCAAGCTCCACCTCCCAGGTTCAAGCAATTCTTCAGCCTCAACCTCCTAAGTAGCTGGGATTACAGGCATGTGCTACCATGCCGGGCTACTTTTTTTGTATTTTTAGTAGAGACGGGGTTTCACCGTGTTAGCCAGGATGGTCTCCATCTCCTGACCTCATGATCTGCCCGCCTCAGCTTCCCAAAATGCTGGGATTACAGGCATGAGCCACCGCGCCTGGCCTTTTTTTTTCTTTTAAGATGGAGTCTCGCTCTGTTGCCCAGGCTGGAGTGCAGTGAGCCACTGCACCCATCCTCTGGGAGGCTTTTAAAATAGATTTCTTGGGTTTTCTATGTGGATGATCCTTTGACATCTGCAAATAGGGGCCATTTTTATTTTTTCCTTTCTGATCTGTGTGCCTGTTACTTATTTTTCTTACTGTATTGTATTGGCTAGAACTTTCAGCAGTATGTTGAATAAAAGTCATGATAATGGACTTCTTTGCCTTGTTTCTAATCGTAGAGGGAAAGCATCAGTTATTAGAGTTGCATGGTATTGAGGCTGGCTGCTACGTCTTGCAGCAGGGGCAATTTAATAACCTCCCTGCAAATGACTGAAGCCACAATAGTGTGATAGCCACTTGCGTAAGACATTTGTGAGAAAAGGGGAGAAAAAAAGCCTTGAGAGTAAGCGTACAAATAGCTCAGCTTATAGTTTCCACCACATGGACAGGATTGTTGCCAGAATCCTGTTGGCTTCATTTGAGATATTTTGAGGTTGTTGGCACCAGGCATTTTGTTCATTTTGTATTGATACTAGATAACTTTTTAAAAAGTAATCTGGAATTACATACCCTAAGTATCAACCATAGAAAACATTTTTTCTTCTTAAGGAATGGTCTCTACAGAAATGTTTTAGAACGTATTCTGAATTCTTTACAAACTCTTCCTTGAATGCCTGCTGATTGAATGGATGCAGGTCATACAGGCAAATACACGCTATTTCCGTAGTACTGAGTATATTGGACTAAATCTAGGCAAAAAGCTGCCTAAAATTTATACTGTAATTGGTCAGCTTTATATTATGGCAGCCTTCTTGGGGGAGGGACATTGATTTCTAGTGACTGCTACTGAGTTAAATACATTGTTAATAGAATCTTTTGTGTGCAAATAGCCTGCAACCCACTTCTACCTCTGTGCATGTGTCTCAGTTGCTAACAGGAGAAACATTTCTTGTGCTTTGGAGGACTTGTCTGCCATCAAAGATCTAGGGATCTGATCAGGCTGTTGTCTGCTTTTGAGCCTTCCAAATTGCATGGCTTAATAAAATGATTGTTTTCTGTGCTCGGAATATTTCTGTTGGGATTCTTCATTTTCTAATTGAAAAATGAAAGTATTGTTTTGCCTTTGCTCTTAGGATACAACTAATACATTTTTATTGTTAGGAACGGTAAAAAGTGCATAGGTAAAACAGTCATACATAATCCTTTCGGTTAACAATGAGTTAATATTCTGATGCCTAGCCCTTCTGAGCTGTTTTCAGTAGACATAAGTTTATACCGTATGTTCCATTTTGTAACCTTTTTATTTCATCATGAACATCTTTGTGTATTATATAGTTGTCTGTAATATTTTTAACAGTTGTGCACTATTCCATTTTAAACAAATCATATTTTGGACATTTGGTCTTTTTTTAACCTTGTGATGGAACAGTAGGTCTTCAGTCTTTTACTATTACACATGGACATGCAATATGGATTCTTGTGGTTAAATATTTGTGTACATCTTTATGACTTTCTTTGGATTCCTAGAAATGGAAGCTATCAGGAAACTGCAGGGCTATGGTGAGTTTTTCCATCCTGAGATGTGCTGCAAACATTGTACACTCTTATTTTCAATTAAGAGTTGGAGATGCTTGTAAAAGAAAAAAAATTTTTTCATTTTGGCTTGACTTGGTTTCAGTCTTGTGCAACATGGGGATGTGGGCCAGTTTGATCTGGAGAGATTCTTTACCTCTCTCTACTCAATAGTTGTGCCTCTGAGATGGCATAGCATCATAACTCCAGTGTTTTTACTTTAAGCATTTTGCATTGCTCTTCATTCTGTATTGTCTATGTCTAAGCTTGTAGAGCTCAAGATTGTAGCTTTAAGTTCTCACTTCTTTGGGGATTTTCTTTTCAGATCGTAAAGCTGAAAATTGAAATCATGAAAGTAGACAGGACTAAACTGAAGAAGACACCTACCGAGGCTGTAAGTATCCAAAAGTTTGCTTTGCTTATTTTTTCTTCATTAAAAAATAAAAAATATTTGTGAACAGTTCATCCATGCTCTTCAAATCTCATCACCCATATATACAAAAGGCGATAAAACAACAACTTGTCTAGAAACAGTAAGATTTTCTTTTGAACTTCCCTGGATTAAAAAAGTGGATAGCCAAGAGACCAGTGGAAAGTGAACACTGATCAGTTAGTTCTTGGTAGCTGTGTGTGCCTGAAGTCAGCTCTCAGGCTGCTGTGCAGTTCCTTCCTATGCAGAAAGGAAGTGTGGTATAATGGAAAGAGCAGATGTGGATTCAGATTTTTAATGTACTTCTGGGATCTTGCAATTTTGTTTTTTAGAAAATGAAAGTGGTAACATTTTTCTTACTAGTTTTTTTTGTTAAGGCCAGTGTTTTAGCTGTCTTTATTACTGATTCTTAATCACACAATTCAGCTTAACTTGTGTATTGGGTGGTCATATCAATTAACCCTTTGTCAACAGTAGAAGTCCCAGCTTCAATCTAGTAATATTCCACCAGCTAGCTTGAACTGCTTTCTGAGGTTAAGGAAGTGGTATTGCATTGTGATAGTCCTGTTGACCCTGTGTGCTTAGTTCAAAGAGCACAAGCTTTGGAATTAGACCTGGGTTTGAATCTTACTAGACTTTTGTGGCTGAGAGGTTATTAACTTGCCTGGTTTCCACAGCTACAAAAAATTTTTTCCTTCTTGATATGAGGCAATTGCTTAGCATAGTATCTGGCACGTAAGTTAGTTCATATTGTAAATACAAGCCACTTGGTTTTCAAAAAATGTAAAAGTACCTGGCAAGTATCACCAAAAGAGAACAATAACATTTTGCTGTATTTTTTCCAGTTTTTTTTTTCTTTTTTTTTTTGAGGCAGGGTTTTGCTCTGTCACGCAGGCTGGAGTGCAGTGGCGAGATCACAGCTCACTGCAGCCTTGACCTCCCAGCTTAAGCAATGCTCCCACCTCAGCTTCCTGAGTAGCTGGAACTATAGGTGCATGCCACCATGCCTGGCAAATTTTTTATTTTTTGTAGAGACAGGATCTTGCCTTGTTGCCCAGGCTTCTTCCAGTCTTTTAAAAAATTATTACATGTGCACACACAATTATCCTGCCCTTTTCATTTAGCATTGTACTAATGAGTATGAGCAGCACTTTCTTCACATACCTTTGTCAGTATTACAGATTGTCTTTTAAATTTTTGTTAATTTCATAGGTGGGGAAGAAAGTATTTCAGTGTTCTATATCAGTTATCTTCTTGTGCCGTTCATTTTGTATCCGACATTGGAATATCAAGTGTTTCTCTTACTGAATGCCATATATATTGAACATACTCATTTTCATATCTGTTGGAAATATCTTCATTTGCTTTTGATTTTGTTTTTGATGTGTTCTGGCATCTAGAAGTTTTGACAACTGTACTTGAATGTCTTTTACTGAAGGACAAAAAGAAAACTTGCTTAAGAAACTGTAATTTAAAAATTTAAAGTGAAACCAGTGTAAGAATCTACTGCTACGAGAATAGAAGACCTAGAAAAATGATCCTAGTGTATATAAGAACTAGATATGTGATGATAGAGGGATTATAAATTGGAAAGAAGGGACAGTATTAGGCAACTGTGCTAGACTAATTATTTATCTTGTAGAGCATGGGTTACTATTATATTGTGATAAATTTTAGATAAACCAAAAGTCAAATGTTTTTAAAAGAAATAAGCTGTAGGAGAAGTAGAACATGAAGGTGAATGTTTACTTTGTCTTAAGTGGGGATGGTCTTTCCAAGCATTAAAACAAAGGAAAAAACCATAATGGAAATGTCAGATACTGTATCCAAAATTTAAAAGACATGACAATAGCCATCCTAACAGGTGTGAAGTAGTATCTCATTGTGGTTTTGATTTGCATTCCCTTGATGATTTCCTTGATATGGAGCACCTTTTTATATACTTTTAAACTATTTGTATGTAAATAGACATCTGGATAAGTATTCAAGTCCCTTGTCCGTTTTAAAATTTGTGTTATTTGGGGTTTTTTGCTATTGAGTTGCAGGAGTTCCTTATATATTTTGGAAATTAATCCCTCGAAGACATTAGGCAAAGTGAAATAAGTCAGCCGCAGAGGGACAAATAGTGCGTGAATCCTCTTATATGAGGCATCTAAAATAGTCAAAGATATAAAAGTAGGCAGTAGAATGATAGTTACCAGGAAATGGTGGGGAGAGAGAAGGGGGAGTTGCTGCTCAGTGGATATAAAATTATACAAGGTAAGTAAGTTCCAGAGATCTGCTGTAGAACAACATAGTGCCTATAGTTAACAGTCAGGTATTGAGTATAGTCTGCCCTCCATGTGTGTGGGTTCCACATTTGCGGACTGAACCAACTGGGTAGTAAATATTTGGGGGAAAAAAACAATAAAAAAGAGTAATACAAAAGTAAAAATAGAAATTTTAAAGCAGTGCAGTGTAACAACTATTTACATTGAATTGAATTCAGTATTGTAATACTAGAGATGGTTTAAAGTATATAGGAGGATGTGTATAGGTTATATACAAATACTGTGCCATTTTATACAAAGGATGAGCATCATAGATTTTGGTATTCATGGGGGTCCTAGAACCAATCCCCAGCGAATACAGAGGGACTAGTCAAAAATTGGTTATGAGGGTAGATCCCATATAAGTATTCTTACCACACGCACAATCATGCGCACACATAGGGACACAAGGAAACTTGGAGGTGATGGATATGTTTACTACCTGAATTGTGATGGCAACATGAGTGTATACATACATCCAAACTCACCCAGTTGTATACATGAATTACGTGCAGTAATTTTGTATACCATTTACACCTTAATAAGCTCGGGTGGGGCGGGGGAGGAGGAAGACACATGACAAGCTGGGGAAGATATTTGTAACCCAGTGTAGTTAATGTTTTCAGTATCTAAATCAGGAGAAATGAATATCCCAATGACAAAATGGGCATAGGGCATTTAAGAAAAGAACAAACCCAGTAAATGTTCAGCAAGATTCAACTCTGTGGGTAATTGGAGAAATGCAAATTAAAAGAAAGTTTTTAACCTAGTGGATTGTAAGGGGTTGCTCTTGGAGTCATATGCTGGTTTCTGGCTCTTATTTCCTAGTTACTAGCAAGTTACTTAGCATAAACTCCTAGAAGTAGAATTTTTGTGTCACTGGTTATGGACATTTTTAAGACTTGAGTTGTCTATTTTCCTTGAGCAGCATACGAAATTACCCCCATTTCCCATACTGTGGTCAATGCTAGGTACTGTTTTTACAAAAGGCTTTTATTGATCACTTTATTAGCAGCTGTGCAAAGAATTTTTTCCCCAGATTTGGTATCTATTGAAATAAATCACTGTAAACCCTGGCAATTGGTATTCAGCTGTCGAACTGGCAAATGCTTTCTTGTATCTTAATGTTGTGCTTGCTGCTTTCTCCTGCAAAATGCAAGGAATCTTGATAGTCTGATAAAACAGAGACCGTCATACTGGTATGTTAAATTGATGCCATTATGCTAACTGGATCTTGTGAACAGAAAACACAAGCACACCTTAGATGCCTCAGACATATTTGTGCCAGAGAGTCAGAAACAAACCTTGTGGAAACTTGAGGACCTTTCACATTAGGAAAGTTTCTAGTGGCCACATGGTTTGGGAAATATTGGGATATCCCTTCTAAAGTGAGAGGGAAGTTGCTGCACCTTGTACCACACATTGTGAAGAAAGAGGAACAATGTGTGATGTGTTTGGATTTTGGAGCCAACATATTGGTTGGTCACATTTGGGCATGCTATTTTGACCTATTTACTGCATAACCTCTAACACATTTAGTAGGGTACCACTAAAGTGTTAGTAAGGTTTGGATCTAGAAAAGACTCTGCAAAAGGTCCAGGCTATGATACAAGTTGCCCTATCACTTGGACATTATGACCTAGTAGACCCAGGTGACTGACTTAGGTATCAGCTAAAGATGCCATGTGGTGCTTTTGGCAAGCCCCAGTAGAATTACAAGTAAGACCCCTAGACTTTTGGCTGTGCTGTCCTCTGCCACCAGCTATTCTACATTCACAAAAGCAGCTTCAGGCTTGCTACTGGGCCTTGATAAAGACTGAATGCCTGGTTATGAGACATACCGAGTTATTATAGGATCCAAGTGTTCATCATGACCTGGGTGTTATCTCACCTACACATCATAAAGTTGGACTCGTATAGCTGCAGTCCATTAGAAATAGAAGTAACACGTTTGATGCTGGACCCAAGTAGGTCCAGCAGGCACAAGTGAACTGCATAAGCAGGTGGTTCAAATTTCCATGTTATCTATTTCTGCTGCTTCACTGCCTCTCCGTCAACTTATACATCTTAGAGGAGAGGAGGAAAAAGTGCAGGCCTGGTTTGTGGAAGGATTTTGTGCCAAGGATTTTACATACATTTAATTACCATGAACATTTGAGGTAGATCTTAATAATGCTTAGAGGGAGAAAAGGTTTGGACTTAGCTTAAATAAACGCCTGTTAGGTTTCATGTTTCTTCGGATGCCAAAAATACATTTCTCCCAGTTTGAATCTCACGACAGCATTGCTGGATATATAGGTACGTGTTAGTTTATTTTGCAGAAGAGGATGCTGAGATTCAAAGAGGTAGCTTACCAACTACCTGATTCCAAGACTCATACTCTTTTTAATAGTATGCCGTCTCTGAATATTTAAGCTCCTGTTATGGGAGATAAGTATTTTATGTATGTGGCAGACATTTGAGTTTCATATTTGTGAGATAGCTATTACGTCTGTTTTTCTGATAAGAGAGCTGTGGCTTAGAGGTTAGACTTGCCCATGATCAAACAGCTTAGTAAACATGAAGCTAAAAAATGAATCCAGACTTGTTTGGTACCAGACCTCTGGTCCATTCCCAGGATGCTGTACTGCCCTTATGGAGTTAAAGAACAGGTGTAATAATCACTTCTCCCAGCTGCCATTCATTAACGGAAGGCTTCTCTCTCCCAGCCCCTATCCCTTTCCCTCCTTCCAGTTTCAGAAACTTGACTGTAAATACTCAATCCACTCCTTGTTACCTGACAAATAGGCCCATTCATCAGTAGAAGAGAGCAGAAATGTATGGAAATGGGAACCCCAAGAAAGAATGGAGTCCTAGTTTTACGAAGTTCAGAAGCTCTTTACCACCTTACAAGTGAAGGGTTTTATGTGACAGAAAAATATAGCTAAGGCTAATCTTCACCTTTAATTGTGAATTCACTAGGACTTTGCAGTCTCTGATTCAATATAACCTACCAGGCATTCTGGTTAACTTTCAGACCATGGTATAGATTCCTTAATTTTTTTTTTTTTTAGATGTTTAACTTTTTATTATTACTGTCTTTGTTGTCTGTATCTTTCCAAATAGTTTGTCTGCATCTACCTTTATCCAAGGTGTTGTTTTTGTTTTTTGTTTTTTGTTTTTTTTTTTGAAGGCCAGGTGGATTGTTGGGGAATAAAAACGTTTTCTCATGAGGTTTCCATTTTAATCCCAAGAGATTATCTGGCACATCTTGTTTTCTTAAGTAGTAAATCCTAGCAAAAGGAAAATTACTGTGTGAGCTTAAGGGTTCCTTTTCCGATTCTCCTTGTTTGCAACTCCCTCATTCCAAAACATCTCTGTGAAAACTTTTTTTTCTCAGCCTGCAGACTGCAGAGCCTTAATAGACAAACTCAAAGTTTGTAATGATGAGCAACTTCTCTTGGAACTGCAGCAGATCAAAACATGGAACATTGGAAAGGTATGTGAAGCCATGCTCCCAAAAGACAGGACTCAGTATACTAATACATCATTTTGTATGCTCTGATATGGAATAAGAAACCATAGTGGGATAGCCTCATTCAGCAGTTACTTAGTAAGCTAAGCATCTAGCGAGTGCCACATGCCTAACATAGCTTTCAACCAGTGGCAAGGAAAATTTTGCTGGCTGAGGATGAGGAATTGATTTCACAGGTGATGCTTAAGAATCTCAATCTCAGAATTCCTGTAGTTTGACAATATACGTTTGAGATAATTTCTGGATTTTTAGTTCAGAAGAACTTTTATTAGATAACTCTAAAAAATGAATTTTTCTGATAAAATGGATTCTGGCAAGGATGGTTCTCTTGTCTTCGTAGATCTTAGAATATAACCGGAGTTCTCCATCTAAAGACCTAGCTCTAGCGGTTTTATGGGGTCTAGTGGTGTTAGCACATATGTCTAGATGGATATGAAATGAACTCCAGCCCTTTTAGCTCAGAGTATGATCTTTCTCATATGGGCAAGGGTGGTACGTGAACTTGTCTAGGTGTCATGCTCAGCAATCTCTTGTAACAAAGCTCAGTTAGAAAGCACCCATGCGGCGCTTCTACCTTATTCTTACATCTTCTTTTTCCTCCCCTCTCCAGTGCGAGTTATATCACTGGGTGGACCTGTTGGACCGCTTCGATGGAATACTGGCAGATGCTGGACAGACAGTGGAGAATATGTCATGGATGCTCGTATGTGATAGGCCAGAAAGAGAGCAACTGAAAATGCTTCTCTTGGCTGTGTTGAACTTCACAGCCTTGCTCATTGAGTACAGCTTTTCCCGGCATCTGTACAGTTCCATAGAGGTAGGGGAGGTTAAAGCCTGTGTACTCTGTTCTTAAACTAGAATTGTGTACATCCAGAAATAAGGAAATTGCCATTTCTCTCTATTGCTTCTTTCCTTTTCATGATGGAGCTCTAGGTTTTTCATTGTCAAAGATAATAGTAGAATGTTTCTTGGATATAGATATCCTTCATAGGGTTGATGGGAAGATTCTGTACTATCACCTTTGTTTTGCCTTTTCAAGATTCAAGAAATGAGTGAGAAATGTTATATATATATGTTAAAGTATTTAAGGAAATTTACATGAATTTATTTTTGCCCTAGGTTGTTAGAGCAGCCCCACATTACTTTTAAATTGCTAGAAATAGTTTGATTTTCTCATCACATTAATGTACTTCTCAAAGTTTTAGTGTGCTGCTTTAAAGTCTCCCTGTATTCTGCCACACCCATCCCAAGATATATATTCATAGCATCCTTTGTGTCCTTGAAGAGTAAGGTGGGTGCAGCAGTCAGTGAGCTTTTCAGTTGGTTAAAAATCACTGTAATAAGAAATTATTTTCTTTTTATAGAAGCCCAACTTTAGACTTTCTGTCATCATTAGTTAGGTGCCCTGTTAATTTTAGGTGTGTTTTCCTGCATCTTCAGTAGAGAAACAGAATCAGAACAAACAACTTAAAATGGCTTAGGAAAAGAAGTGGGATAACTGAACTAAAGGCCTAATATACAGAGCTTTAAGTGGGAGGTAAATAAGCAATCTGTTGAAGATGAAATAGATATGCTGCCCATGGAAGTCCATGGCCTTTGGTATAATTGGCAACTGGAAATGCCTTGGTTCATTTCTAGCTATATTACATACTGATTTTAATTCTGACCAAGTGCTTCAATGTATTGGTGAATTTTAATTGTATTTAAAAGCCAAAGTAAGGCCAGGTGCAGTGGCTCATGTCTGTAATCCTAACACTTTGGGAGGCTGAGGCAGGAGGATCACTTGAGCCCAGGGTTTCAAGACCAGCCTGGGCAACATAGTGAGACTCCATCACTACAAAAAATACAAGAGTTAGCTGGACGTGGTGGTGCATGCCTGTAGTCCTAGCTACTCGGGAGACTTAGGTGAGAGGATCGCTTGAACCCAGGAGGTCAAGGCTGCAAGGAGCTATGACCATGCCTTTGCACTCCATCCTGGGCAACAGAGAGACCCTGTCTCCAAACAACAACAACAAAAAAACCAAAGTAGTCACTCAGGTTCCTTATGAGCATATACTGTACTTGTAACAGTTATATGTTACATAATTGCCACGAACTGTTGTGGATATGTTTAGCTTCTATATGAAGGACCCTGTTTTAATTAATTTCAACTTTATGTTTGTCATAAAGGATACAGAAGAGAACATAAAATATCTTTCACAATACTTTTAGTCCAGTTAGAGACTTAATGTTCTTCTTGAGTCCCACATGTGTATTATATCACATTTGCCTCTTTTGTCTCTTTTCCTTCCTGTGGGAAAACCTATGCGGTTTTGAACTACTGTTTACATTTTTTTACTTTTATTGCACTTTATAACTAACTGCCAGATTTTAAGCTCCTTGGGGGATAAGGGTGCATGTTGTAGATTATCAAATACATACATGTATATACACACACACACACACACACACTTTTTTTTTTTTTTTTTTTTTTTTTTTTTGAGACGGAGTCTCAGTCTGTTGCCCAGGCTGGAGTGCTGTGGCGCGATCTCGGCTCACTGCAAGCTCTGCCTCCCGGTTCACGCCATTCTCCTGCCCCAGCCTCCCGAGTACAAATACTTATATATTTTTTGTATTACGTTACTAAACTTTTTGATAGCTTTGTAAATGTTGACAGGTACATTTTGTTTTGTTTTCAAGGCCAGTTGTTCCTGATACCTTGAGCTTTGCCCTTTTTTGTCCCTTTAGCATTTGACAACTTTATTGGCTTCCTCTGATATGCAAGTGGTGCTGGCAGTCCTTAATCTCCTATATGTATTTAGCAAAAGATCAAACTACATCACTCGTCTGGGATCTGACAAGAGGACCCCACTGCTAACTCGGCTACAACATTTGGCAGAGGTGAGTCTTGGGTGAAGAGTGGAGGGGTGCAAAAATTGGAGCATATGGTTCCTTTCAACAGGTGTTTCTCAGAGTGTTAAAATATATTAGAATCTCTAAGTTAACTTCACTGGCCTAATTGAGTTAGAACTATTGGTGCCCTCTTTTAAAACCTAAGTATTCTCAGTTATTAAGTAATTTTGAAGGAATTCTTTAATCTCTGCTCACCAAACAAAATCTCTCTGTTCAGAAGTGGCAATTTCTCTTCTGAAAGGAAAGTTCAAAATTATATTCAATTCTGTGTGAGAAGGAAGTATAATGCAATAATATGATCTAGATTTGGGTCCTGGCCCTGCATACTAGCTCTCATACTGGTTTCCTCTTCTGGGAATTTAATATATCTACTTCAGGGTTGATTTAGAATAAAATGAATTGTGGGGTACTCAGTGCTGTGATCAGTAAGTAGTAGTGATTGTAATTGAAGCCAAAAGCTCTCATATAAAAGTTCAGCTCTACCAAACTATTGTCCTGTGTTCCTGGAGACAATTTCTTAATATATACTTAGGTTTGAGAGGTAACCCACTGTTGGAAAGCTTTCTTAGAAGAAAAGTGTTACGGCTGGCTTTTTAAAAGCGTATTTAATGGTTACCTCAAAGTAATTCAAGTTTTCAGGCTAATTTACGTGCCATGATTACTTATAAATTAGTTTTGTATAATTATAACATGTATTTTGAAAATTCTAGGAAAATATAGACAAAATGTCAATCACCTATAATTCATCCCTATGAGACCTCCCTTAAAGTTGGAGCATTTTTTTCTTGCATTTGGAAATACGTGTATACAAGCATGCAACTTGTTTCCTTAAGATACTGTAAACATTTCCTCCTATTAAAAACCACAAGGAGGTTTAACATTGGATTCCCAAGTCACAGTTAAAAGGAAAAAGGAACTGTTACTCAATAGATGCTTCCAAAGCACTTGATAAAATTTATCACATTAACAAAAGCTTCATATAAACTTTAAGAAACTAGAGTTACCTACCGGAAGTCATAATGGGGGAGCTGAGGCATTTCCATTGAATTCATAAGTCACACAAAAATGTCAGACATTAACTTCTGTCATTTACATTTGTAGTACAGATGCTAACCAACAGAAAAGAAAGAAGCGAAGAATACATATTAAAAGAGAAAATTTGGGCTGGGCATGATGGCTTCATGCCTGTTATTACTGGCACTTGGGGAGGCTGAGGCAGGCAAATCGCTTGAGCCCAGGAGTTTGAGACCAGCCTGGGCAACATGGCGAAATCCCATCTCTGCAAAAAGTACAAAAATCCGCCAGGTGTGGTGGCACACACCTGTGGTCCCAGTTACTTGGGAGGCTGAGGTAAGAGGATCCCTTGAGCCTGGGAGGTGAAGCCTGCAATGAGCCAAGATCGTGCTACTGCATTCTAGCCTGGGCGACAGAGTGAGACCGAGACTCTGTCTCTAAAAAAGAAAAGAGAATATTTGTTACTATTTGCATGTAGGTGATGAGTCTCTTTGTTTCTTGGGGAGATAATATTATTACAACTAGTAAAAACACAGTGAGATAGCCAAGTAAGAGATCAATATACAGAAACAGATAGCTCCTCCATGTATTAATAGTAACCAATTAGAAAATGATTGGTGAGGCTGGGTGTGGTGGCTCACGCCTGTAATCCAAGCAGTTTGTGAGGCCGAGGCAGGAGAGCGAATCACCTGAGGTCAGGAGTTTGAGACCAGCCCGGCCAACATGGTGAAACCCCGTCTCTACTAATAAAATAGAAAAATTAGCTGGACGTGGTGTTGGGCACTTGTAATCCCAGCTACTCAGGAGGGTGAGGCAGGAGAATCGCTTGAACCCGGGAGGCGGAAGTTGCAGTGAGCCTAGATCATGCCACTGCATTCCAGGCTGTGTGACAAGAGCGAGACTCTATCTCAAAAAAAGGGAAAATGATTGGTGAAAAGACCCCATTCACAGTATGAGCAAATATTCTGTCTGTAAAATAAGTCATATTGGCTAAAACTGTAAATTTAAGAGAAGTTAATGTAGGAGGTTGTGTAGTAATAACAGTGGTGGGGAAAGAATTCTTAAAATCCCCATGGCATAAACCTAAAACTAAAATTTTGAATATTATATTTAAAAATATACTTCCCGACAGAAAACACATAACTCCAGGCTACTCCTTAGGCCCTTACACTGGAATATAAATCAACACACTGCTTCCTTCATCAAGAAAAATGTCAGTTGTACTAACTAGTATAGTTACCAATGTAGTTAAATAACATTCTGGTACAACCTCATTTTGTCCTGGACCAGTAACACTTGCAAACAATTGGTGTAATGGCAAGCAGCTGGTCTGCAGGCAAAATTAGGCAGCACTTCGTACAATAGAAGTTAACAGACCCATGGTAGATTGAAAACGCTTAACAATGTTTTAAAACTGGAAAGGGACTGCTAATGTAGAATATTCAAGGAACTCTTCCAGATCAACAAGGATGAGCAAAGGATATGGATAGGCAGTTTATAGAACACGAAATTCATGTGAGTAGATGCCCAGACTCAGTAATTAGAGAAATAAAAATAAAACAAGATACAGCTTTGTAAGCATTAGATTTGCAGAAATTTCTTAGAAAACTATATAATGGTAAGTGCTGGCAGGTATGTGAAGCTATGGGAACCCTCATGCATTGTTGATAGGAGTGTAGACTGGTTCTCCTGGGTGTATATTTCAAAGATGAGATCACATCATTTCCATAAACGTGATCTCTGTCCAAATATTGCATCATTGTTTGTGGTAGTGAGGAGTTGGAAGCAACCTTGGTATCCATCATTAGTAGGTATTCGAATAAGTAAAATGTGGCACATGCACACTATGGAGTATGTAGCAGTTAGAAACTGTGCCCCAAATAATACAGCAACATCTATGGCTTCTAAACATAGTGGTTCGTGCATAAAAAAGTAAAAGCAACAATTTTCATTGCTCAGTACCATTTCTGAAACTTAAAAAGATGTACACAATGCAACATATAGTTTCAAGAAAGAAAAATTAACAGACATCAGAAGTTATACCTTTGATAGAAGGGAATCTGAATGGGCAATGATGCGACAGATATATGAACAAATACAGTAGTCTCCCCTTATCCGAGGTTTCGATTTCCATGGTTTCAGTTACTTGCAGTACAGTACAATAAGATATTGAGAAGCCACATTCACATGACTTGTATTATAGTATATATTAAACTTTATCATCAGTATGTATATATAGGAAAAAAATATGTGTGTGTGTGGGTGTATTATATAGGGTTTGCCACTACCTGTAGTTTCGGGCATCCCCTGGGGTCTTGGAATGTATCCCTATGGATAAGGGAAAATAAATCTTAACAGCAGTATTTAAGATCTGTTAGACCAACACTAAACCTTTACTTACAGATTTAAAGGATGGTCTAAATAGAAACCAGTAACATTTTTTAAGTGGGAAGACTTAATATGGTAGAAGCCCTTTAATGAAATTAGGACCAATGATTGGTAGTTTAATTATTTTAAAAATCTTGTTAAAGCAGGAAATGTTTAAAAAGTGATTTATACATACGATTTTTTAAAAACGAAAATAATTCCCTTTCCCATCTTATGTGGGGCCAAAGACTTAGTAAGAAGCAGTCTGTTTTCTGACATAAACTACAACTGTAATCTGTGATCACTTTATGGAGTTGCACTGATGTGAAGAAAAGGAACCTGCATACAGGATTCTAAATTTTTTAGAGTTTACTCTTGAATCTTTTCATAATTTGACACTTTTTATTTTAGCATATTGTCTTTTAGATGAATATTTTGCAAAATATTCAACTTAGTTTTTGTGAAATAATTCCCTTTCATTTAAATCAGTCAGTCAAATTGATTGAGTGGAAGTCTGTTAATAGCATCAACTGAGACACAGAAATAAATGTCTGAGAAAACACTGATAATCAGGGTGAGTTGTTGTATCAGATAATATCATAAAGCTATAGTGATTTTATTATAAAGCCAAGTTTTTATCATATGGCTTTTTATCATTAAGCCAGTTTTGTAATTGGCACAGGAGTAGACAATACATCTGCAGAATGAAAGAGTATGCCTTATGTTGCTTATATCAGAACAGTGGGACAGTAGGCTGTTTGAGGGAAAAATGGGTTTAGAACTTTTCTTCACACTTGACATAAATCCTAGAAACATATTTAGAGGTAAATACAGGTGACTTTTAAGATCTTTGGTAAAGAAAAGTTTGCTAGGAAAGTTAACAGACCTAGAAGTCATTAAAAATACAGCTTTGATCATGTTAATTTGGTTATTTGTATAGGGCCACAATAGCATCTGACAGAATTCACATCTTATCACTCTACTTTTAGGCTGATAGAAGCACACTAATATTTCATACTTTAATTAAATGTTCTGACAATTTAAGTAGAAGTTAAAATGCAAACTGTTTTTGGTATAAATGGCTCACATATGTAAAGTATGAGGGGCAGGTTTCTTTGTGTTGTTTTTTTTTTTAGGTAATTAAGATCCAGTTGTTTTCTTCCTTTGGATGATTTTGCCACAGAAAGGACTGCCTAAATGATTGCTTTTTTGTCCCTTTGCATTTTTGACACTTTTTACCTTTGACAGACTTGCTACTTTTCGCTCTGAATTGATCTAAAGAGATTGTAGATGGAAGGTTAATTTCTAGTCCTGGACAATTTGTAATCTTGACAGGTGCCGTACATTGCAGCCTTTGGTAATAGATTTGTGTGTTTGGTGCTTTGCAATAAAAGATTTTCACAGGTGTTTGAGGTTTAGAGATAATTAGGTGTTTAGTAATGGTACCTCCAATACTAATACCCTTCTTAAAATTTAAAAATTTCGTGTTTCTCTAAAATGTAAAATTTCTCTAAAAACTTGTTCATGTGGACTTCTCTTATTTATGTATTTATTTTTTTGAGGCAGAGTCTCACTCCATTACCCAGACTGGAGCGCAGTGGCACAAT